GAACATAGGGCTTCAGAAGTACATTTCCACTTTGTCCCATTCTCTGCAGTCCAGATTAGCTGACCCCTCTATTGCTCATAGTCTCTCTCTCATCTCCTCTGCCTCACAAGATCTTCTCTATGTCAGCCTCACACCAACGCCCCATTCGTCATAACCAATTCGCGTTTTACATGGGTGATGGTCTAGCGCTCAATGTCATTTGGTGGTCTCCTCAGCATTTGTCCAATCCATCTCCATCTTCTGCGCATTTGTTGAGTAACAGATTCTTGAATGATTTCCTTAAATAGTTTCCTGTTGCTAATTCTCTCTGCTCATGGGAACTTCAATATGGAGCCAGCAAAATCCGCTGTTGATGAGAGTTTGAAGTGAACCTTTAGAAGTGTTTCACGTGACTCAGGCACCGAGTTTCTGACCCATAAAGAAGAAGTGACTGATTGACTGACACTGTAACAACAGAAGGCAAGACACGGAAGCCAAAGTATCTTTTTCATTGATCAAACCGCTGTTTATGCATATACAGTTTATATTCGTTAACCAATCACTCAGCGTGTGATTTCGGTTTACATCAAACGTCAAGAAATAGAATGTTGAAATAGATATATCGTATTCTTTTTCTAATGTCGGATTGGACTGTATGAATATGTGAGAATAATATTCCGTTGGAACACATTGTCCGTATCACACCACCACAACTTAACATTGATGTTGAAAATCCGAATTTTGTTCTTTATGCTCCGGTGGAGTACCGTGGAATTTGAAACTTATTTCAGAGTGATGAAGGTTCGACTTGTCTTTTCGATTTTGACTGGTTTTGACGTCCCCCTGATCTGTGCTATCTGACAGCAGTTTCAACGATTCCACCTAGACAATTGATGGAATTGACCTTTTTGAAATTTTTGTTGTTGACAGTGATCGGTGACGGTTCTGGTTGTTGTTGTTGGTTGATTAGTTGGTTGGTTTGTTATCTTGGAAACCTGTGTCTTCAGTATATTCACTTGAAGTGGCGTCTTCGCTGCCACTTCTTCATCCATTTTGCTGGTTTCCTCTTGTAAGTCTTCGAATTCATGTAATATTAGACATAATTTGTCGGCGAAGTCGTGGTCTTTTAGAGTCTTCGAATCGATGTGATGTATTCTCGCTCTCTACAAACTGTTGTGTGATCCATTTCCCCACAATTAGGAATATTATCAGTGATAATAGGCATCCCTATGTTACTTCTATCTAAATTTTGAAGGCGGGAATCGGTGAGTTTTCCGCTTTGCATCACGTGAAACCTGGAACTGTAATATAGCTGTGATAAATGAGGTTGATAACGATTTTGGGCACGCCGTAGTATTGTAAAATTTGTAGGAGCAATCAGATGATTTAATGAAGCTTTAATTCGTCTGAAGCTTTCATGAATGGTTTGTATTTCATACGTGTCTGCTAACAGCTTAATCCTATGTACAATATTAGTATGTTAATAGTTCAGTGGTAGAACTGTGTTACCATCCACTCAGGATATCCGGGTTTGGTTCTCTATCAACGCACTCCTGAACCTAACCACAGCATGTGGTAACCCTGGACAAGACGGGAAGTGTAACATGAAGTGTAATCCATAAAAACAACACCACTGCTATCTAGACTTCAAAGCTTGGAGTCCAATGCCCTAATTGAAACTTAAAGAATAAAAAAGTGCAATGATGACTGAAAAGACCAGAAAAAGTTGAGGGATGGGGGGGGGGCTAAACTACAGCATATACCGATTAGCCTAGTCATTAAATGGTAGCCTTTAACCGCCTAGAGTAATACAGATCACTTGCTTGAGCACTGCATATTAACCAAAAGTCTTGTTACTCTTGCTCAGAGTGCATTGATCATGTATCAGCTGCCGTTTAGTCGTAATATTAGGCGACACATCACTTCACATTTTGTTTTCATTTTTATCATCTTTCATTGCTACTGGTCATGACAGCTGCTTGGTTTTTGGTCACTTCTTGACATCTGCACTGGGTGACTCCATCAAGCCTAATGGGGAAAAAGTCTTTCTAAGGTTATCAGATTATTTTCGTCAGCTATTTTTTCAGCTACAAACAGTCTCTATTTTTGGTAATATTGTTTTCATTCTATTTTTTTTGGTTTTCTTGTTTATTATCTGAGGGTTAGAAATGAAGTAGGGTAATGTGAATTGTTACGCAATAGTTTTAGTTTACTGTTTAGGAGATTTGTTTATTTGTGATAACCCATAGATTGCTATAGATTAACTCTGGGTGTTTTTAAAAATCACAAATTAGAGATTTCCAACAGTTTTTTCGTAGGGATTTGATTTGTTTCAAGTCTGGTCACGGAATGATATCAGTTAAAGAACCACTAAGAACTCGGGAGTACTGAACGACTGTTTTGTCCTAGTTTAGGACCCATCGACAGTACACACCCACCGTGTTTTAAATCCGGGATCTCTTGGTTAAAAGGCAAGCTCGAAGACTATTCAGCCACTGGAACGCCACTTGGTAGCACATGACTTCTAACCTTTACCGATTGGTGGTTTCTCTAGCGTGACCATCAGCCAACTACTACTCCTAATAATAATAATAATTAATAAAGGAAACACAGAATACATTTCTACGAGTTACTGTGTTTTATTTCCCCTAGTAATCGTTGGACGTGTTAAGTCTTCACTGGTTGCATTTCTAATTGTCTACGTGAAAGATAGATAGTAGGTAGATAGATAGAGCCACATGAGATCCCGTATGGGAAATACAGTATAATAATTATTTTAATATTACAAGACAGAAAGACAAAGTTAATAAGAACTGAATAAAATACTCATACAAACATTTTATAATAATAATAATGCATTGGTTCCGTTGGTGAGTTTTGATGTAGAAAGAAAGACCAAATCTGCAGTATAAAATGATATTATTCTATTTCACAGGTTCTCATCAACTGCAACTTGTCTGAAGTTACAGCGATTATAAAGGATTGAAAATAACATACTTCAATGTTTGAACGGTAGTAGAGAAAATGGTTACAAAAATTAACGCATCCAAAATGTGTAAGCATTACAATTTTTAATTGAACTTACTGTCAATTTATGTGCTTTTAAGGTAGAAAAAGAGAGAGAGAGGAGCAAAAACAGAAAACGTAAGAATCTAATAAACATTGTTAGCATATAGGTTTACATGACAAATCAAGAAGGTTATAGAGCATCAGACTGAAAACATCCTCGGTGAATTGAAATCACTAATATGGATGACTAGTCAGTGTATTCGAAATGCGGTTACCGAGTCAATGAGAGATTGCAATTGCTGCAGCAGATCGCAGTAAATTTGATATCCTATATATATTCAGGGGAACAGATAGAAGCCCTTCTTTCTGTCTCTCCAGTGTACTTTCTACGGCAAGTGCGTGTAAATTTATAAACATAGTTGGAGATGATGTCGACAGGGTACTTTAACTAAAAACCAATATTGCTTACAGATTTCGGATGCGTTGAATTTTTTATATTTATTTTTTCTACTACCATTCAAACATTGACGTATGTTATTTTTAATCTTTCATAACCATTGTAATTTCAGGTAGCTTGCAGCTTATCAGAACCTGTAAAATGGAATGATGGCATCATTTTATACTGCAGATTTGTGCTTTCTTTCTTTATCAAGAATAATCTATTCGCCAAACACAATATTTATTTTTGAATTAATTAAAAAGAATATAAGACGTTTAAAGTCTAACCAAATAAGGAGAGGACATCGGAGAGGCCCTACGTAGAATCCACAACAAAACAGAAATGAGGGTGGCATTTACGCCTACAATAGCATTCACTTGGGACAAGCTCTGTAGGCTAAAGGACCCGGTGGAACAAATTAAACAAAATAATATAATTTACAAAATACTTTGCAATGACTGTGAGCTGAGTCAACTACGTAGGTCAAACTAGTAGATCAGGAGCAGTCAGATTGCATCTGAACATAAGAATTTAGCTAAGGTAAGAATGGTTGACCCCAAGATGATGAGTAATTTAGAAAAAAAGTTCAGCAATTGCACCACATGCGTTAACGCAAAACCACACAACAGGGTGAGGGAGGGTTAAAATTCTAGGAAGTAATCTATGTAGGTGGAGACAGAGGGAGAGATTGATTAGTGAATCCTACATGGTTCATCGAGTCTACACCCAACACATGCAATAGAAGTGACTCAACGCGAATACCACAAATATGGAAGATATTAATACCACCAGTCAGTCTAATCAGAGGAGGATAATAAATAATCTTAAAATTCTATTTCAATTCACACACATTATAAAATGCTAACAAGTTACTTATTTCTACTGTAGAAACATCTCACTACCCATCTGATTGTATTTGAATGATGACACTAATACTGTTTCCGAATGTACTTTATCTTACTTATATTGATTGCTATTCAAATGTCTGATCATTAATTATTACTCATGTATATTTAAGTGAGGCGAGGAAGTTGTGCGAGCTAGTGCGTTGATATGATGATGATGATGATGAGCAGTAATAATTTGTGCTCGAAACTTGGTCGCATCAGTAAATGCATAACACTGTATGGTTTGATTTAATCAAAATGAAATTTTATGCATAATGGAGTTATACTCTACCACCATGTCAAAGTTTTTATCCTTATATCAATTTATCTTTGAACTTGTAAGACACGCTCATTCATTGAATACATTTTAGAAATAATCACATCATCACTTGACAGCTGTAGGTTATTGTGTTGTTTAACATACTTCATAGTTTAACTAGTTATGAGTGAAAATCAGTAATTGCTTGCCTGTCCCATAATCCCACTAACCAAAAAACAAACAGAATATTAAAGGTATGCATTTTTCTTTAGAGTCCAGTATTAAATTGATAAAGAATTGTCCACTGTACCTCCAGCTAGTTGTGTGTGTGTGTAGAAAAGTGAGAAACACAATGTATGGCCTTAATTAATTCTGTGCTTTGAAATCTACTTTCTTATGTCTTTGTATTTTTTTTTCTACTTTTCAGATTGCAGGTTGTCCAGCTGCTGAGAAAATTTTATCAATGAGTAAAAATTATTCAGATAATTCTGGATCGTTTGAAAATTATGCAGATAATTTAAAGAGGGATGAATTAATGATGGATAGTGGATATTGTGATGATGAGAGTACAATGCCTGTTGCATCACTGTCGTCTCCTTCCACCGTTGACTCTTCGACTACACTGACTACTGTTACTACGAGTAACAGTGGCGGTAGTACTAGCGGCAGCTGTAAACCAATATCAAATCTTGTAAATATTCATCCTTGCCCGCCTAAATTAGATATACGCTGTCATAATATTCGACCTAATACGTCTTCTTCTTCGTCATCATCTATACCTTTTGTTTCCAATACTTCTGTTGTAATCACTGTTGGTGCTGCGATTCCTACGACGAATGCCACTTCATCCTGCATTACTACCACTACTACTAACAGTACCAGGAGTAGTAGTGGTAGTAATGATAACAATTCTATCATCACTAACAGTAATAATAATAATACTCACTGTCTTATACTCAGTACTAATGAAGATCATAATCAATCAATTTTAGTACTTAAACCGGAACCTGAGGCCAGTGGGGCGTCTAGATGTGCTACTACTGCTACTACCAGTAGTACTAATACTATCACTACAGTTACTGGCTCTACACCATCAACAACAACAACAACGACAACAACGGCGATAACAACAACCACGGTGACACCATCAGTAGGTACAACAACAACAACAACAACCAGTGTAACACGCCTTATCTCCCGACCATCAACTCTTCTACCGTTATCAACATTGTCAACATCGACAACATCAGCCCAGCCATTGGATATGTTGAAGGCTCAACGTCAAGCATTATCTAAAGTAGCTGATTGTGTAAATCAAGTGATACCATCATTGTCGAATACATCAACATCATGCTTTTGGTCATCAAATGATTTACAAAATCTGTCACCTATACTTACACCATCAACATGGAAATTATTAAAAAATCTGACTTCTGCAAGTAATAATAACAGTAGTATTGGTAATAATAATAACAATAATAACAATGGTAATAATAATAATAGCAGTAGTAGTAGTAGTGGTAGTACTATTGGTAGTAATACTATTCAACAATCTTTCCTTTTAACACCAACACTAAGTCCTCTTTATTCTGCCTTACCCGCACAAACATTTACATCATTAACAAGTATGGAGACATTAGGATCTATAAACAATAATAATAATAGTAATAATATCAGTACAACGATAGGTGAATTGAATTCACTATCAAATGTAAATAATACTAGTCAATCTGTTATTAGTGGTCAGCATACAAATGTTGCATCATTGTTGTTCAGTACTAAAGTTGCTTCGAGTAACTGTGATAGTAGTAAAAATGAGTTATCAAGTCATCTGCATCATCCTTCACCTCTTTCTACTATTACTAATACTACTACAACAACCACTACTCATCATCATCATCATCATCCTCATCATCATCATGGCAACAGCAATGATGAACTTAGTCATTCTGTACAAATACAACAATCAACTCAATTAAATGGACAATGAATTTACAAAGAATACATAACAAAATGTATAAAAAATGTGTCCCTGTTATAAACACACATATATATTCCTTCGCCCCTCCCACCCACCCCCGCCACCACATCTTACAGTTTCTCCGGTTCGGTGATGAATATGTGTGGTATAAGTCATCCTGTGATCAATGAGTTTATCACAGGTCCTTTTTTGTTTCTTCCTCTCTGTCTGTCTGTCTACCTATCTATCTATCTTTCTCAGAGAGGTGAACTGAAAGCAAAGAAGAGACAGCTCTCTTTGTTTGTTTGTTTGTTTTGTTTCTTTTCCTCCCTCTTTGTGAAGTTGTACTATGGATTTGTTTCATCTGTTTCTACGTTGTCTTTCTTTCAGTGGTTTGGTTTAGTTTTTCTATGTGTTTGTGTATTGTTCAGACTATCTATCACGTTCATTCTTCTTCTTCTTCAGTTCAGTTTCTTGTTTACTCTTACATCCCTGGGATAGTGAGTATATATGTATATGTATATATTCACTTTGAATGCATTTGTTTGCACAACTACTAATATATATTGTTATTATTCAATATAGTGGAACTCATTTAACACTTAAAAAACTAAACAACAGACGGACAATATCAATAAAAACAACAACAACAACAAAATATTCGACTATTTTCTCCTTTATTTCAATTTTCATGAGGCAGCTGTTTAGCAAATATTATTAGTCAGAGGATTATCCCATTGTCTACAGCTTTCAGAAAAAAAAGTAAAATAAAGTAGAAAACAAAAATGAAAAAGGAATTAAGAGATGAATACTTCTCGAAACAGAGCATTAAAAAAAATAAAATAAAGGTATAGATTGTGACTCACACATCACAAAGACGCACAATGCGCATATACAGCATGTACGTATGCATTCTTTGAAGAATCAAGTTTTGTTCTGTCTTGTCTTGTCTTATTTATTCTCCGGCTTACACGCTTACACACTCTTTTTAAACCAAACCAATCCACACTGGCCTACAAATACGTACATAATAAGTATATGCGTACACCTTTGCACTTATAAATAGACACTTTTCTGGCTTTCCCAAATTTTTGGCATATTTTTTTACCTACTTATATATTATGACAGTAGTTAAACTTGTTTGACAAGATAAATCATGTCTTTCTCACATTGGTTTCCAGTAGATTCTATTCAGACAACTAGTATCAGTTTGTTTCGTCTATTACACTTCTGAATTGTACAAAATTAGTTAGCGAAATTGTTTATTTTTCAGGTAGATACAAAAGCTGTTATATATGTGAAGAAGAAAAAAGATTGTTTCTTATTCTGGCAAAAATTCTATGTTCTGATTTCCAGTTTGTACACTAGTTCGTTTATCCGTTTTCCCACCTATCCTTACGTATAGTAGTAGTAGTGGTAATGGTAGTGGTGTGAATTGTACAAGTAAGGCAACAACTTACAAACATAATATAAACATTCATATTATTTTATTGGATTTTATCTACCTCACAAAATTCATTTGCTTTTTCCCCGACTATTTCCAAATACATTGACCAGTTTCTACTGTGTATTTGTTTATTTTCACAAGGAATGATTAATAAAAATAATAAATGTTCTTCGACTGTCACTTGTCACTCCCCTGTTATCGATTTATGTATCTGCTCATCTATACATTTGTGAAAAAAATATATATACATGTGCACATAAAAGCTACAAATACTTGTATCTTTATTCTTCTCTGAGAACACTGGTTCAATTTACTGAATACACCTTGTATATCTACTGTGAAAAGTTTTGATAAAACTCTCTGAAGTCTATTACAATACACTTATTATCATTATAATTCATCAACTCTATGCCATTTTGTTTGCACAAGTCATATTTACAGTAGGATATTTGCTTATAAAGATACTGGACTTGAGTAATGTTGTGTAATACAACGTACATATTCTAATCATGCATTCATAAGGTATCATCATCTGAGATTATTCAGCAAGAATATTATATTATATAGAATTTAAGAAGTGTCTTTTGTAGGGGCTGATCTCTAATCTTGAATTTCGCTTTGATGGTAATATGAAGAAACATATTAACTAATAGTCAGCTTACTTGGAATTAAAGGGGATTAAAGATTTCTGTACACACACACACACACACAGACATACACACATACATACATACATAATACTTGTCTGTCATTTCCTCTTACTATTTATTACATTTTCAAATTGTGAAAACTACCTTTTCAATTGAGGATATATATATACGTAAATATAACCGCGTGTCTTTCTACAATGAGTTCTGCAACAGGATCTTATTAAAGTAAATAAACAAATTCAAGTTTAATTGAATTCACTTTCTTCTCTTCAACTACCTGTTTACCTCCTTGTAAACTTCGTTACACATTGATTTGTTTTGTTTGTTCGTGTATGCTGATGATGTGGTTGGCATAATCTATACAACAGATAGAAGTGTAAAGAAAAAGAAGTATTCCCTAGATGAACACAGTCCTCGCTTTTTTTTTTCTCAGATTTGTATTTCCTTCTCCTTTGTCTAGTTGACTATGCATTCGTATTACGCATTAATAGGTACACAGTTAATATTGATGTATGTGTGAGTAATTTGCTCATTTATCCGGCCATCAGTTAGGACAGTTAATCCTCACACATATATTCACCAAAACACTAATATGCAGAGATTTCACAGACACTATAACACTATTTGTTTGATATTTTAGAATTGTTGTTAATGTCGTTATAATATCCTACCTTTATTGATGTTACTAAAATCACTGTTATTATTACTACTATTATGGATAATAGTATTAATAAGAATTTTATTAGTTTGAGTCAGAAATTGAGCTTTCTTGGGGTTCTCCTCTTCTGTGCCGTTATGCTTGCACCGTTTCTCGGCGCTATACCCTCTTCATATATATATATATATATATATATATATATATATATATATATATATATAATATTGTATTTATTATTATGTTTATGAGTATATAATATATAGAAATTAATTTTGTTTATCAGAATTGCTTTTTAGTTTTATTCGTTTGTTCTTCTGTGTATTATATTGTTTTCGCCACCTAAAGTAATAATAATAGTATGTCTGTGTAGAGTAGTGAAAGATAAGTTAACGCGTAGTTGCTATTAATAATGATAATATTCGTCCACTTAATCCATACAATAATTTAAAGTCTTTGGTAAGATCAGGAATGCAGATTAATGCTTTTTTTTGGCTACTGTTAGTAAAAGGTATTTTATAGAATATTATTAATATTATTATTCTTTTGGGTTCCGAATAGAACGTAGGGCTTCAGCAACACGTCTCCACTTTGTCCCATTCTGTGCAGTCCAGGTTATCTGGCCCATGATTTCTCATGGCATAGTCCCTCATCTGCTCTGTCTCACACGATCTCCTCCATGTCACCCTCGAACCGACGCCCTACTCGTCGCTAATCATTCGTGTTCACTCGAATGATGGTCTTGCGCGCAATGTCATTCAATGGTATTCTCAGCGTGTGTCAAATCCATCTCCATCTTCTTCTGCATGTTTGTTCAGCAGTAGGTTGCTAGTCAGTTCGTTCCCAAAGTTGCTTTCTGTTAATTGTTTTCTGGCCATCGCATCTGTGCGTCGGTGGCACAGTGGTTAGGACTCTCGCCGACCATGCACATGGTCCGGGGTTCGAGCCCACGCCGGCGCACACCTGATATCTATGGTCGGCCTGCAAAATTTGGGCTACCGATATCCATGCTGAAAATTCCATACTTGTACCCAAAATACAGTGTGGAATCAAGCTGTAAATCAAAAAAAAAAAAAATATGGAGTCAGGGAAGGCAGCTATTGATGAAAGTACGCAACGACCTTTTTAAAAAGCTTTTCGTGACTCACGCGCCCACTTTCTGACCTATGTAGGAGAATTAACTGACTGACTGACTTAACATTGATGTTGAAAATCCGAATTTTGTTCTTTATGCTCCGGTGGAGTACCGTGGAATTTGAAACTTATTTCAGAGTGATGAAGGTTCGACTTATCTTTTCGATTTTGACTGGTTTTGACATCCCCCTGATCTGTGCTATCTGACAGCAGTTTCAACGATTCCACCTAGACAATTGATGGAATTGACCTTTTTGAAATTTTTGTTGTTGACAGTGATCGGTGACGGTTCTGGTTGTTGTTGTTGGTTGATTAGTTGGTTGGTTTGTTATCTTGGAAACCTGTGTCTTCAGTATATTCACTTGAAGTGGCGTCTTCGCTGCCACTTCTTCATCCATTTTGCTGGTTTTCTCTTGTAAGTCTTCGAATTTATGTAATATTATAGTTTACGTAATATTATATTATTGCTACGGAAACTTCAGCACGATGAACCTCTTTGCGCCAAAAGAAGAAGTCTGTATGGGGACATGGAACGTCCGCACCATGTACGAGATTTACAAAGCTGCCCAGATCGCAAACGACATGAAAAGATACGGAATCCAAGTACTGGGAATATGTGAAAGCAGATGGAATGGGTGAGTCAGTGATCTACTCTGGTCACCCAGAAGATAACCACACGCACACCGAAGGCGTGGCTATCATGATGATGACAATGGAAAGTCAATCACCAAAGAGGTGGAGCGAAGAAAACACTGGGCTGAACACTTCACAAGACTTCTAAATCGATCGCCACCTACAACGCGCCCAACAATAACAACAACGGAAGCAGAACTACCAGTGAACATCAACCCCCTGACGAAACCAGAAGTTCTGAATGCAATCAAGATACTAAAAGCTGGAAAAGCAGCAGGACCAGATGGAATCCTAGCAGAAGCATTGAAAATGGACCCAGAGGCAACAGCGGACTTGATGACGCCACTGCTGGAGAATGTGTGGAAAGAGGGCAAAGTACCCGAGGATTGGAAGAACGGATACTTATTCAAACTACCAAAGAAAGGAGACTAAGGTCAATGTAAAAACTGACGCGGAATTATGCTCCTGTCCATCCCAAGCAAAATACTGAGCCGCATCATCCTAGAGAGAATCGAACACGCCCTGGATGAAAAACTTCGACCGGAACAAGCTGGATTCAAGAGAAACAAGTCATGTATTGATCAAATCGCCACTCTACGGATCATCATTGAACAAAGCATGGAATGGCAGTCACCTCTCTATTACAACTTCATCGACTTTGAAAAGGCCTTCGACAGCGTCGATCGAGAGGTGATTTGGAAACTACTTTGCTACTACGGGGTGTCGCCAACAATCATACATCCCACCCAACAGTTGCACGACAATACTGCATGCCATGTAATCCACAACGGGAAACTCACGGAATCCTTCGAAGTGAAAACGGGAGTAAGACAAGGCTGGCTGTATACTATCTTTAATAATTTACCTGAGTGGTGCAGACGGGATAATGCTATAGACAGTGGGCAATGAGGAGACAGGCATAAAATGGACTCGCACAAAAAACGTTGGAGGATCTGGATTTCGCCGATGTTATTTGTCTGATTTCCCACAAACTGGAAGATATGCAAGTGAAAAGCAACAAGCTGGCAGAAGAAGCATCAAAGGTAGGACTTCAGGTGAACATAGATAAAACGGAGGTGATGAAGACTACTGGCCAACACCAACAGCAACAACAACAACAGACAACAATCAGCCGACATAAATGGGAGGAACCTGAAAGAAACAACTTCATCTACCTACCTACCTGGGAAGCATCGTTTCAACTACAGGCGGAACTGACGAGGATATCAAGGCCAGAATCGGAAAATCAAGACAAGCTTTCATTACTCTTAAGCCTGCGTGGAGGTCAACAGCACTGCTCAGCATCAAAAATAAGATCCGGATTTTCAACTCCAATGTGAAATCAGTGCTACTATACGGATCAGAGACTTGACCAGCGCGTCATACAGAGCATCTTAAACAAACTTCACACCTTCATTAACAGTTGTCTTCGCTCAATACTACTCAAGATCAGATGGCCAGAAAAGATCACCAACAGGGATCTCTGGCAATCAGCGAACCAAACAGGAACCGATTGTGAAACAAATAGGCAGGAAGAAATGGAGATGGATTGGCCATACACTGAGGAAATCATCAAGTGACATCACTAGACAAGCCATCGCTCGAGTGGAACCCGAAAGGGAGGTGGCGAGTTGGTCGTCAGTGTGAGGGTGACTTGTAGGAGGTCATGTGAGGAGGAGATGAAATCATGTGGGCAGACTTGGAGTGGGGTGAAAAAGTTGGCAGAAAACCGAAGGCAATGGAGACGCGCAGCTGAAGCCCTATGTTCTTCTAGGAATTAAAGGATATAATAATAATAAATAATATTAGACATAAGTTGTCGGCGAAGTGGCCATCTTCTAGAGTCTTCGAATCGATATGATGTATTCTCTCTCCCTACAAACTGTTGTGTGATCCATTTCCTTACAATTAGAAGCATTATCGGTGAAATTATTTCAAAGAAGTAACCAGTAAATCGACTAATTATGTATTGTGCACATTTTCGCTTTGTTATTGTATGTTAAGGATAGCATGTACTTAATGCTTCATATTGGTCCTGATTGGTTTCTATCAATCAAGTGTTTCGGTTGCCTGCACTGAACTGAATAGAAAATGGAGAACTCATTAACCTTGGTTTATATGTAATCGAATATCTTCTGCAAGCATAATTAGCACTTCCTTTTGTCACTGCTTTTCAATCCACGTTGCTTCAGTTAAACATGTGAGAAAACATCTATTCTTGGTGGTCAATTCAAGTTATTCGATGGGTTCCATGTGTGTTTATAACTGTGTTCATCATTTCATACAGTGGCTTTCATAATATTCAATAAACATGCAAGTGAATTCTATCAAGTTCTACTTATTTTGCGTGTAACACTTGTTATTTAACAAAGTTAAAAAGTCAAAATATTACTCTATTTTTTGAAAAAAATTCTCGACAAGTTTAAAATATTAAGTTAAATATTTGTGAATTTAGTCAGCTGTTTCTGGTTGACATTTTCAGATTTGATCACAATCTAACATCATTTAAGGAACCACTAAAAACACAGTGGATGCTGGATAACTGTTACGCCCTAGCTTGGAACTATTCAGCGGTACGCGCTACCCACCGGGAGTACTAACACAGGACCTCCCCGTTAGAAGGTGAGCAGTCCCTCATACAGTGGCCGGTCCATGAATGCCAACTTCTGCCAATTCGAGATATCTGTGTGTGTGTAGCACAACCGCGAGCCGACGTCGTCGGCGAGTAATTATTCTTTAGTCTGCAATCCAAAGCTTCATAATTAACGTTTCGTTTTTAGGAGAAATAGTAATTATAATTAAAGAGAAAAAGAAGAATGATTCATTCAATCAGCGATGAACACATTCCTGGACTGTTAGATAATAAAGATAAATATCATTTTTGAATGAGGTTTCTCGACTATTCTGAATTATATATATATATATATATATATATATATATATATATATATGGCACACATAAAGAATAGTGACCCCGAGTTGCCAGCGCACCAATGCCTTTGAACGCAGACCATTCGTTTGACTACAGAACATGCAATGGATTGTAAAAACGAAAGCCGTTTATTTTTCAGAAAATTTAACATAATAATAATAAAAAAGAAAACCTTTAAAAACGATAGTTTGGCCTACCGTAACTGAAAAGTACTTCCCAATTACAATGAAGGTTATCAGTTTTCAGGTTTCACATCTATCGAAATGGTCTCATGTATATGAACAATGGAATTCTCTCCTCCCATTTATTAATTTAGAAGAAAAATACAGTCGACCATAATAAAACACTTTTACCCTAATTCTAATACTTTAGCCCTAACCTTACTACTGATCTTAACACCCTAACTGTACTTAAAAATGTGTTCAGGATGAAGTTTCCACATCACTTCGTGCACAGCGTTCAGATTGGCGCTG